CAACACATGTTCAACACAAGACGCTCTCCCATAAGGAGGCGGCTTGCGTTAAATGTGTGTTGAATTCTTGGCCCTCTCGGAAGCCTCTCAAGGGCCGCCAGAGGGCTCCCGCAGGGCCCCAAGAGGCCCAGGAGGCCCCCAAGATGGCTCCAAGAGGGCCCGAAATTTTACACAGCACCAGCACCAGCACCATGGGCAGCCCAGGCAGCACCAGCAGCATCGACGCCAGCAACAACAGCAACATCAGTAGCAACAGCAACGAGAGAGGCAGCAACCCAAAGATGATTCCAAGATGGGCCCAACAGGGTTTTGAAAGGATCACGATATTATAGCTGTCGCCCCAAGATGCCCCCCCCTGCTAAGCAATGGCCCCAATATGACCCCAGAACGACCCTGCGGCCCCAAGAGACCACCAAGACGAACCCACTGCCTTCCGACTGAACTAAGGCTACCGCGTGACCCCGATGTTAGGTGGCCCTGGGACGACCCCATGAGCCCAAGACGACTTCGAGATTGCCCCAAGATGACCCCTTTCAAACCCTACTTGACGACCCCAAGATTGTGTCAATATGGTTCCGCTGTGACTCCGATGCGTTCCTTTCTTCTGCCCTTGCTCTTGGCTTTGGCCGATTGGACGGATGGGGGTGCTGGCCCTCCGCCCACTCGTCGTCGTTTTCTCCGTCCTCCCCCTTGTCCTCGTCGCCCTCGTCGTTGTCGTCCGTGTCCGCCTGCAGGGGCTGGTAAAGTCGCTGCCTGCGCTGCTGCACCCCAAGAAAGTTAAATCAGACAGAGGGTTCTGGCGACTGCCAGAATGTGGCCCAGTTGCGGGTGACACCTCGCGCGGAGCAGCTCTCGTTGAAGTGTGTGATGGCTCGTATGATGTTTGTCTTGACGACCGATACCAAGAAGGGTTACGTTCATTCATGCAACCAACGACCGTGCGATCGAGGAGCAACCTGCGAAGACCACACCTGGAATCATGCAAGCTCGGTGGCGACCTAGTCGCCCATGCTTAAATGGCAAGCTCAAGGCGTTGCTTACGAGAGCCCAAATCTCGAGCAACATGATCAATAAGATCTCGTGACTTCGATGTCGAGAAGAGTGAATGTTCTTGCTGTCAGCTTGCTGCCGCTCTCGCCAGCATGCGACTCCTCTCAGGCCACGGAAGCAAGGGTGGAGCCACAGATGTGTCCTCCCAAAACGCTCGTCATGCGCAGAGATGGATGGAGCATCTCTGGCAGCGCGGCCACTGTTTGAGACCACCAGAGCTACGTAGCCCTCGGCTTCTGAACGCATTACGAATTACAAGCTGGTTGATACCAGGTTGAGTGAGCTCGACCGTAGGTGCCTTGCCCTGTCCTGCTCGGATGGCGGTGTGGTTGTCATGCATGTCTGGAGTGCAACGATTTCTCGACTGGTTGCCGTGTGAGGTATATTTGCCAGAAGTGCCCAAATCATCCTCGAACTGAGGGAAGCGTACATAGCTATTGTGCTAGGACTGCTGATGCGGGGTCCCTCAATTTGGTCACCTTTTTGGTGGATGCCGTGCGTGTTCCCTGGCCCCCTGGTGCTGGGGCCACCAGGACCAAACTGCGCAACCCCTAGGCCGCCACTTCGCATGACTCCTGCCTGGAGCCTGGGCCACCAAACCAGCGCGAAAGACTACATGTTCTGAGCGCCTTGCCCCCCGCAGTCCCCTCTCCGCGGCCGTCCTGGCCCTCCCCCCGACTCTCAGGCCTTAACTTGCCACTTCGCATCCCGACATGAACGCCTTCCCGCGCCGTGCGATTGCTGGCGCCGCGACTATATATGTGTCAGAGCCACAAAGGGAGGAGACCCGCCGTGTCGGCATCCGTGGCATGCACGCCCGCCTGTGTCACAGTCAAGGGAGAAAGCAGAGTGACGTGCTCGACGGCATGGCCAGGAGGACGGCGGCGATCGCGGGTGCAGCGGCAAAACTCCCTCCTCCCCCTCCTCCTCCCCCTCTTCTTCCCCCCCCCTCTCCTCCTCACTCTCCTCCCCCTTCCCCCTCCGCCAAATCCTCCTCCCCCTCTCCCTCAAAAATCGGACCCCTGACCTGGGGAATCGTGAGACTGATCCAGCCGTGGGGGGACGCGCAGCCTCTGGAGTCCCCAAACAGGACCAGAAGCGCGCAAGAATCGAGAGCTTAGATCTCCGAACCTCGATCTTCCTCCTCCCCTCGAAACCATGGCTGGCGTCGCAACAAAAAACGCGACGGCTGTTTGTTCGCATTGTCGGCCTCGGGAGGCCGCTTCCTGGCTCTTGGACCCTCAGAAAACTTGCGCTCGGGATGAAACCGGTCCCAAATCGAGATCCTTGGGGGGCGGGGGGACGTTGCGGAAAAAATGCAACGTCGGAGGATGAGGGCACCTTCGGTCCCTCCCTTCCAACGGCTGCTGCTTCACATATCCGATACATGACAAAAACAACGGTTGATACCTGAACATCGACAACAGAAAACAAGACAACAAAACATAACTCATACTAAGCACCCCGATACAATCATCCTGGCGAAGGACCCCACCATATGCAGTTGTGAGTAACGTGTTGTGGGTGCCGCTTTCGGTGTAACTCCCTATGGGGCACCTGGGGGAGACGCACGCGGGCGGTGCCACTGGGGTCTTTCTGTGGAGCTCCCTATGGGCCACGAGGCGCAGTACTGGGAGGGGGGGACGCATGCGGGCGGTGCCACTGGGGCCTTCGGTGGAGTTCCCTATGGGCTCACGAAACGCTGTACCAGGTGGGGGGTCGCATGCGGGCGGATCACTGGAGCTCCCCACGGGGCCACGAACCGCTGTACCGGGTGGGGGGGGGGCGCATGCGGGCGGTGGGGCCCTCGGTGGACCCCCAATCAATGGGGCCGCGAAATGCAATACTGTGCGGTGGACGACGCATGCGGGCGGTGCCACTGGGGTCTTGCTTTGGAGCTCCCTACGGGGCCACGAAACGCTGTCCTGGGTGGTGGCTGACGAATGCGGGATGTCCCACTGGGACCATCGGTGGAGTTCCCTATGGGGCCATGAAGCGCTGTGCTGGGTGGTGGCTGACGCATGCGGGCGGTCCTACTGGGCCGTCGGTGGAGCTCCCTACGGGGCCACGAAACGATGTAATGGGTGGTGGCTGACGCATGCGGGCGGTCCCATTGGGACCTTCGGTGGAGCTCCCTACGGGGCCACGAAACATGTAATGGGTGGTGCCTGACGCATGCGGGCGGTGCCACTGGAGCCTTCGAAGGAGCTCCCTGTGGAGCCACGAAAAGATCTAGTGGGTGGTGGTTCACGCATGCGGGCGGTCCCGCTGGGACCTTCGGTGGAGCTCGCTATGGGGCCACGAGGCGCTGTACTGGGTGGGTGAAACGCAAGGAGGAAGGAGGAAGGGCTGTGCTGGGTGGTGGTTGACGCATGCGGGCGGTCCCACTGGGACCTTCGATGCAGCTCCCTATGGGGCCACGAAACACTGTACTGGGTGGGTGAAACGCAAGGAGGAAGGGCTGTGCTGGGTGGTGGTTAACGCATGCGTGCGGTCCCACTGGGACCTTCGGTGGAGCTCTACGGGGCCACGAAGCGCTGTACTGGGTGGGTGAAACGCAAGGGTTAAGGGCTGTGCTGCGTGGTGGTTGACGCATGCGGGCGGTCCCACTGGGACCTTCGGTGGAGCTTTATGGGGCCACGAAGCGCTGTACTGGGTTGGTGAAACGCAGGGAGGAGGGAGCAGGAGAAGGGAGGAAGGAGGCGGGAGGAACGCGGGGACCGTCTCTTTAAAACGTGGACCCAACACCACAGGATGGTTGGGACAGAAAGCCGTTTAGTAAACGCGAGCACGGAAGGAATCGAACAGGGCAGGACTGTTTAGTAAACACCTAAGGCCGTTTAGTACACGCCAATGATGGGGGATCGGGATGGTTTTTCCTCCCTTGGGAACCAGCATTGACGGGTACCAGCGACCATACCACAGCGACACATACCAGCCGCCTCTTCGCACCGTAACCCGCACATCTGATTAAGTGAGAACACTCAGACAACGCAGGGAACTGATACTCCTCCCTCTCCTTGCATCCGACGTGGTGATTTGTTTCGCAACGTGGACCCCGAAGTCCAGACGACTTCCCCGGGACCGACTCTTCATCCTGGGCCGATTCTTGACGTCCCCAGGGCATGGTGATGGCCCCTGGAGGCCGAGAGCGACAAGAAAAACAAACAGCTTTTTCACGAATCCTGGTGGTTTTCGGGCCACATCTCGGGCCTCCAGCGGCCGTCCAGAACGACTCGTGCAACCTCGGAACGTTCCTGGCGAGGCGCGGCTGCTGGACATCACACCCCAGTGAGAACACCTCCAAGAGCCACTTGAAGCTTCCGAAAACTGCAGAACACTTTTCTTCTGTCTTTCTTTCGCAAAGCCTTATGCACCACAATATCGGCAGATTGGATATTACTGTTGTGGGTGCGACCGGACAGTCTATCTACTAAACCTGCAACGTCTTCAAAGTTGAAAGACACGCTTTTCGGAATTGATGAACAAGAAACGTGAGCAGCAATGAACAAAAAGAGGGCACGAGGTGGACGGACCGGCCTGCGGCACCACGACGACGACACCGCCGAGGACGACGACGACGCCGGCGACGACGACGACGACGACGACGACGACGACGCAGGCGACGACGACGACGACGATCGACAAAGACGACGAACGACGACCGGCGTCGAACTCGTCTGGGCCCTCCTATCCTCGAGAGCGGAACCCTCGATCCTCGACCCTCGAAGGCGAGGCCCTCGATCCTGGATCCTCGGAGGCGGATGTTGAAGGGGCCCTGGGACACACAAATAAATACACACAAATAACAGTATTCCCCTTATTTTCGTATTCTCTTTGTTTTTGTCTTCCCCCCCACTTCCCATATTTTCCCGTATTCTCTGGGGAATCGAGGATCAATTGTGTCTGTGTGTGTGCCTTTTCCTCCTGAGATGTGCCCTCCCCGCGGCCTGCGGGCCCTGCGGGCCCAGCAGGTGCTGGCGGTCCTGCGGCAGCTGCGACAGGGGCATCAGCGCGTGCGCCCGCCGCGGCGCGAGGGGCTGCTGGGCCTCTCGGGGGGCGAGGGTGGGGGCGAGGAGGGCAAGGATCACAAAGCTCGCTGTGGGCTGAGAAAGCACCCGTGCCAGTGCTCAAGAGGAGGGAGAGGGCGGCAGAGGACGCAGGCGCTCGGGGAGACTGGCGACAGTCTTACGCTCTGCAAGGAGGAGGAGGAGGAGGAGGAGGAGGAGGAGGAGGAGGAGGAGGAAGGCCACGTTGCACTGTTGCGGCCACCGCAGAGCTCGCGCCGGCAAAAGGGCGAGGTTTTTGACATCAACAGCTTCAGAGCCCCTCAGAGGGCAAATAGCCTCGAGATCGGCAGCGGCCCCGACCCTCGTGTGATCAGGGCGGAGACCTTTGCCCAAACTCGACCAAACTTCACTTTGAGCGGGCGGACTGCCCAGGCATTACTTAGCAAGCCGCCTCATTTGCCCCCCCTGTCGTGAACGCAACACATACTCGGCAGATAAAAAGCAACAACTATTGTCACTAAAACCCACCACCAGGCAACGATGCTCGAGCTCCCGCAGTTCTGTGGGGTCAACACGCAAAAGACGGTTGCACATCCCAGGAGCGGGTTTAGCAACAGACATGGAGCCACGTATACATTGAGCACATTGCCAAAACGTTCCAACCCAACTCCATTCATGCGGTGGCCTCGGATCTTTCTCACGCGGGGGGGGGCAGCACAGGCAACTCGCTCAAGATCCGTCCGAAGCCATCTCTCCACCAAGTTGGCTGCCCGAAGCGTGACAGCACGAGAGACAGAGCACACAAACTCAATACCTTCCTGCTCTGTACTGGACATACGAATATGCATCATGGATCCATATTTGGCCTCCGTGTCGGCAGCATTGTTGCCAATGATACTCACCCTCTCAGCCCAAGGTAAAGCCAAGTCGTCATCCTGATGGGCCCGAACTTCCGAAATCCCGCGGAGAAATCCCTGGGCGAACGCGTCCGTCTGCATGACACGGCCGCTGTAGGGCCTGTTCGGGTGCAGTCTATCCCGAGCACTTTTGGAAAACTCGTTCACCATAGCTTGGCAGTCAGAATAACAAATCGACGGCTTCGACCCCAAGGAGAGATGCAGCATTAGCAGGGGCAGCAAACTCTGCTGCCACGCTGGTCTGAAGATGGACACGTCGAAGGGGCCTGCATATCCAAGCTAAGACGCGCCCGACCTCGCTGTACCAAACAAATCCCCAGCCTGAACGGGAAAGATCCGTGATCACAGATCGGAAGCACGAGCCGTCGCCGTACAGTCGTCCCGAAAGCTCCCTCGCCCCTGGGTCAGTCGGAGGAAAGTTCTCTTCGGCGAAAGCCTCAGGGAAGTATTGAAACTGCACGGCAAGCATCGCTTCATCCTGAGAAAGAGGCTGGGGAACGTCCTTGGCAGGGTGCTCAAAAAGGCCTGTCTCACAGAGCAGCTCAAAACCTGGAGACGGGTTCGACAACTCCTCCCTGACCCGCGCCAGAAACGGTTCTCCAACAATACGGGACCCCTCTACCTCGCCAGCAGGACAATGCCACAAACCCTGGCGGAGCACCGTGTCTCCAGGCTGGCCGCACAGCGGGCACAGACCCTCGATGATGTAGCTTGTGGCCACAGCTCTGCTGAGCGGCCACGCAGCACGGCACGTCGTCGCTCGCAACGCACCTTTTGTTTAGGCGTGGGCATGTTAGAGGCGAAGGCCCTCATAACAGCGTCAGGACACAAACGATGGCCGTTGCTATATTTCGAGCCAGCTTCACTCTCCAACCATTGTAGGATAGAAGATGTCAGGAGACGTTTAAAGAGGGCGGGGGAGGTGAGTATGAGAATAATGGTCTTCCCGTCCTCGCCCAACATCGTGACAGGGTCTCACATGGACCAGCTCATACGTTTCAAAGACAGGTGCATGGCTCCCAGCGGACCTCTGACCGACCTCCAAGACTTCGGTGGCGAGTGCCACGTGGTACCTCAGCCTTGTCTACCTTGATCCCAAGACGGAGCTCATGGGGCAGCATGCGTTTGGAGTAGCCAAAGTTCCTTGCTATATCTGACTATCGAGGCAACGCTCCCATACCAAGCTGGATCGTCTCCCATGCGCGTGAGAATCAGCAGGCTCCGGCTCCCACTCGACGGTTGCATGGCTGATGCGCACATCTGGCGAACTTTGGCCAACTCACCATCCGTCATCCCGTGGACCTCGGAGCCATCTTGCATGCCCGCCAGCGGGCCCGCGACAAACACCTTAGCCGCTCGACGGCCGAGCACAGGACGCTGTCTCGCTGGCCGGCGTGTCCTGCGAGCGGCAGCTGCGAGCCTGGCCTTCGCCCTGGCATTACGGCCGCGAATGCGACGATGAAGCCTAGCAGTAAAGTCCATCCCCAGTTCACCGTCGTTTCCCTTCTGGGCCCCACAAGAGCCCCAAACTCCTCCTGGAGGCGGGCCGAAACAAACCTGGAAGACAAAGCAAGAGCAACCTTGTCCGTGGAAATCTGGGCGTGCATCCTGTTCGTGATCGCAACACGAAGGGCCTCAGCGGCCTGAGACAGGCTGGAAACAATGTGATTGGCCGTGCTTTCACACTTGAGAGCAGAATCGTTAATGTAAATGTCGAGAGTGGTGCTGGGGGGCCAAGGGAACCGAGTCGAACGATGCAATCCCGAAACCTTTGATCATGGTCGTCACCATCGAACAGCCAACCACCTCTGGACTCGGCAAAGAGCGCAGCAGTTACCACTCTACGCAAAACCATGATTCGGGCCGATCGGCAAGCGCACACGCAGACTCCGAGCAACACCAGGTCAAAGTTATGCCTGCGACCGCGCTGCTCGAGCAGCACCACGGGGATCTGTTGGTGATAGTTGAGCGTGTCCCACAAAAGTCCTCCCGAATGCTGCTGCGAGACCGTGCTGGTCTCAGATTTTGCAGCCTGTCGCCAGACCGTGTCCGTGGCCGAGCGGTGTTTCCCCGCGGCCCAGCAGGGCCTGTCGTTCTCGAGCTCACAGGTCTCGTCCCAAGGTCTCCTGCGCAGCACCCACAGGCGGTAGGGGCTAGAAGACACACCGATGGGACGGAAACCAGGAACCGATTTCGGAATGAGGCCACGATAAACGCTCTCATCTGCTTGGAGAGCAGCGCCGAAGACCCAACAACAAACAACACCAGCGCCAACCAATCCAGCCAGGCGCCGGAAAGGTACTGGTAGCGCCTCATGTGATGAAAACCGTCTAGCCCAACAGCCGAGCGCCCAGAGAAGGATGCGGAAACTCGTCCCACTTCATCGGGGGAGATGGTGGGAAGAGGCTCATATATGAAAAAGCGTCTGCGCCCAGGATTTTCCTGATCCCTCCAGAGGGCCCCGAATTCTGTCGTGGTCCGAGCGGAGCAACTCACGTGGGTCGGACACCAGGGACCCAAACCTGCTCAAAGTACTGGTCGGTCTCCAGGCCGAAGGGTCCTTCGAAATCTGATGGGCCCGACAGGCCCCCTTGGTTGATACTGTCCAGAAGCCAGGCCGACCAGTCCTTGCGGGCACCGCCAACAAAAAATCGAATGCTTGGAAATTAAACTTTAACCACCTAATACGGTGCAGCAAAAGGTAACGTGGGGCGCCACGGTCGCGCCCTAACACGAGACGCCACCATAGCGACACACCTTTCCCGCAGGCCCCATACGTAGAATGGGAGGGAGGTGCCCATCACGCTACACAGTTCCTTTTCCGAAGTGTTTGCCCACTGCTTGTAGGCCACAAACAGAATGTCGTCCAAAACGTCAAACTCACCCCTTTAAGCTCTAACAAAGGCCTTACCCCGCGCGAACGACGGGGGCTCAGGGGATCCACAACGACCGGAGGGGGCTTGCGAGATCACGGCGAAAGGGCGAGGGCCAGGGCCGGGAGGAGAGGAGGAGGAGGAGGAGGAGGAGGAGGAGGAGGAGGAGGAGGAGAAGGCGAGGGTCACGGGAGTGCGTCGGCGGCGCGCAACAGGGTGGCGGGGGGCTTCCCGCCCTGCGAGAAGATGTCTCAAAGGCCTCCAGGACCTTCGAGGACGCCACTTCCCTTTTGAACGGCCGCCCCATTCGCCTCACCTCCTCCTCCTCCTCCTCCTCCTCCTCCTCCTCCTCCTCCTCCTCCTCCTTGGGGAGGGGGAGGGGGGCTCGAGAAAGGAAGAGGGAGGTGGTGGCGACGGTGTCTGAGGCCTAATTACCCCCCCTCCATGTCGGCGTCCAGCGGGCGTCACCCAAGCGAGCCTGCTGCTGCATCTGGGGCAGCATCTGCTGCTGCAGCTGGTGCGTCGGCCTCGGTTGCTGCAGCGGCAAATGCTGTTGCGGCTGCTGCTGGGGCTGCTGCTGCAGCATCTGCTGCAGCTGCGGCTGCTGCTGCTGCGGTTGCTGCTGCGGCTGCTGCGGTTGCTGCGTCTGCTGCGCCTGCATGTGCTGCTGCTGCCGCATCTGCTCATGCTGCTGCATCTGTTGCGGCACCTGGACGTGCTGCTGCACCTGCTGCTGCTGCTGCTGCATCTGGTGCGGCTGCGGCAGCGGCTGCGGCTGCGGCTGCGGCTGCGGGAGCTGCTGCTGCTGCTGCAGGTGGTTGAAGGCCGGAGGCGGTGCTGATATGATGGGCTGAAAAGCCGTCGCGGTGGCCTGCAGAACCTTGTTGGAGAAGGGCAACGACGACGACAAGAAAGAAGACAGACAGCGAATCACAAGAAAATCCCCATGCAACACACTGGCCGACCTCAGTTGTAGACCTCCAGCGGCAGACACCGCGAGCAGGCAGACCTCATGGAGAACGTGGTCAAGGTAATAATCCGCCACTGTGACTCCTGGCACCGAATGCGTGCTATAATGCCGCTATGCTGCCTGGCTGCGATTTCGTAATGTAATGAAGCCCCCCTCTCCTCCTGTCAGCGTCCGCTTGCGTGCATCGACCCTCCCCTTCCCAGAGCCTGCCCGGCGTCTTCAGAGGCGGTTGAGACGCTCGACACAAGGATTGCTCCAAGACGTATCCAAGACGGCTCGAAGGAGGCCCCAATACAGCCCAGCGAGGTTCCTATGACCTCGGCTGGGAGATCTGCAGACGCCCCGAGGAGGCCCCTAGAGGCTTCCAAGAGGCTCGCCAGGGATCCTTTGCATCGAAAAGCATGTGGCTTCAATAACTTCTGCCTGTCACCCGTCTTCGCTCCAAGGCCCGAAGAGGGCCCAAGACTCCCCGCAGGCAATTCCCAAGAAGCCACACCCACTAGGACGCTCCCAGGACGATCCAGGACTGGCGGGGTTCTCCTGTAAGGCGTAAGAGTGGCCCAAGACCGCCCCAAGATTACCCCTGGATCCTTCCAGACAGCTCCAAGACCCCCCAGAGGGGTCCCCAGACGGCCCACGACCGCCTCAACCGGCCAGAAACCCTCCCAAGGGACCCTAAGAAACACTCGAGAGATCCCAAACCGACAGGCCCCCGAGAGAACCCCCGAAACGTAGCCCAGGACGCCATACTGGGCCATGGGGAAGGAGGAAATCACGTGCTACGGTCGTCTGTGCCCCAGAAAGGGAAGGGAAATACCAGTTCAAGCCCTCTCTGGACAGGGGCAACGGGCTGCTGCACGGGCCTGAGGAAGAGAGCTGTCACACCGTCATGGCAGACTGAGTCACGCGGAGGGCAGCCATCGCATGCTGACCCCTCTGGAGCCTGGGAAAGAGAAGTACCATGCTCACGACTACCTTGGCCCTGCTGGACCAGTTGTGGCATGTCTCGGCTTGGAAGCGACTTGACACACGTCATGGACGTGTGGAGCCTGGCGGAAAAAGAGAAGTGGAAAGTGTTACAGCCTTGCGGGCCCTGGGTGAGACACTTATCAAGTGCTACGGCAACATAGGGGAAGGCACGGCACCCTGGACCCTGATCAAGAGAGACATCACGTGTGTTGGCGCTCTGGGCCCTCGAGGGATCGCCACACGGAGTGGTGTGTTCAACCGGTGGTGGAATTTGGCTGCCGCCACCTGGAGTTCTTGACGAGAATGCGCTCTGGCGGACGTCGTGGACGGCTGCTCAAAACCTACCCCAAGAGAGACCTCCACAATGGCCGGACGAACGTGAAAAGGGCCCCTGGGGAGAGGGGGCCGCAGCACATGACAACCACTGCTATCCCAGCTAAGCCCACAGGCCGTCGAGGACGACCACCGTGGCTCCTCCAGCTCGCGCCAACCCAGCTCCAACGCAACAGAAGGAAGCTGAAGAAGAGCGACACTTGGGCCCCCCATCAAGCTGCACGGCATCGGTGGCCTCACGGTTCGCGAACCTTCTTGGAAACAGTTCCTCGGAACGATTGGGATACAGCGCGGGCCTGGTGGTAACACTTGCCACAAGCAGCTGGATATCAAAGCGCACGCGTGTCGCCGCCATCCCAAACATACAATGCTGAATAGTTCAATCGTGTTTGGAATTCCATCGTAATCGTTACCATCCGCATCATTCTCGTACGCTGTCCCATCGTGAGCGCAGCCGTTGTAATCATCACCGTAAACAGCATCATGATCACCAACACCATCAAAAACGGTATCAACATAAAACGAACAATGGCAATGGTAATGATGATGCCAAGATCTGTATGATCATGTTGATTACGATTAATGCTTAAACGTATCCTCGCAGAGCCCTACTAGCAGTGCGATGGCGGTACAACAGGGGCAGGAGATGACGGTTATGCCTTTTTTCCTGGGTGGCGGTTCCGGGGCCCTGTGCGCTGCGCAAGACCCCTGGCCACTCCCAGAACCTCGATGCCCCTGGGTGATGGGTGGGTTGTACAAATCGGCCGAGCACCTGAACCCAAATGGCAACAGACGTCGGGTAGATCAGGAGGACACACTAACGTGTTGGCACACGGGCACATATCCTCGCAGAACCCTGGTAGCGGTGCGAGAAAAAGGGCAGAGGATGGCGGTGATGCCTCTTTCACGGGTTGCGGTTCTTGGGGCCCTCTGCGCTGCGCAGGCCCCCCGCCGCTCCCAGCTCCCACTTCGGCGACGGGAGTGAGACACCAAGAAAGGAAAGGAGCACAGGACGCGGGGAAACGGATCCTGGGCCCTCCCCCGGACTCTTCAGGCGTCGGAGGCCCATCCACGTTACCGTGGACCCTTCCCTCGGCACGGGCGTGCCCCGCTTGCCATCCCCAGGGCAATGGGGGAGGGGGGGGGCTGCCTCGGCCAAGGGAAGAGGCGCTCTGGCGCTGCACGCGCTGGGGCTACAATATAAGCGACTTACTTTGGAAGCTCGGCGCCGCAGCATCGAATTGCAAAGAAAAGTAAAAGAGACACGTCATGTAGGAGTGGGAGAGAAGGAGGAGGAGGGGAGGCCAAGAGTCAGGAGTAGGCCTGAAGGGAGGTGGCAGGAGAGGGCTTCAGGATGTGACGATGATGTTCAATCGCCTCACTGCGAATCCTTTTGACCTAGTGGTGTGTAGATGTTTGGCATTGTATCCTGATTGCCGAACGCTCGCGGGCTAGGTGCGCGCGTTCCGCTCATGATTCAGACGCCCGAGCAAGCCGGGCTGGCGGAGACAGTGCAACGCATAGTGAAGTGTTTCGTAATTGCCGCGTGTCGACAAAGCCAAACAAGTTTTGATTTTTCGCAAAGCCGAGTCGGAATGCGGAATCCCCAATGGGCCCATTTGAATCCTTAGTAGGACCCCCTTGGAGTTTCATTGTCTTCTTAGCGATGCTTTGAGTTGTTTCAAGCCTTCAATCTGCAACGCGTAAAAAATATTCGGCCGGTCCGGCTGGCCTTGCCGGTTGGGGAATCTCGTGGATTCCTCCTCGCCCCAGACCCAGGCCAAACTTCTGGCGAACCTCTAAGCTCTAAGAATCCACGAGGGAGGACCTGAGCACGACTGAGAGGCGCAGAACGAACGGACCAAATTTTGCGAGTTCGGCGCACGGAATCCTAAGGATCTAACCCCATTACAGGGAGGTCCACCGAAGGCCCCCATGCCACCGCCCGCATGCGTCAGGCACGCCCAATTCGGCACGCCCCTCACACGTTTCGTGGCCCCAGGGATCACCGAAGGCCCCACCGCCAGCAAACGTCACGCACGCCCAATCAATTCGGCACGCCCCTCACGCGTTCTGAGGCGGAGCTCCATCGGACCGATGGTCCCAGTGCCACCGCCCGCACGACGGAGACAGACAACGAACTCCGACCAGAGCTTTTTCGGCTCAGAGCGAGCCCGCCCGCCCGTCGGCCGCGACGGTCAGAAGCCAAGGCGCCGCTCTTGGGACGCGGACGAAGGGCTCTCGCGCAGGAGAGTCGAGGACAAATCCTCGAGGCTCCCGCGCTGGAGAGGCGAGGGCAAATCCTCGGGCGCCTCGAGGCTCTCGTGCTGGAGAGGCGAGGACGCATCCTTGAGGGTCCCGCGCTGGAGAGGCGAAGACGCATCCTTGAGGGTCCCGCGCTGGAGAGGCGAGGACGAATCCTCGAGGGCCCCGTGCTGGAGAGGTGAGGGCGAATCCTCGAGGGTCCCGCGCTGGAGAGGTGAGGACAAATCCTCGAGGGCCCCGCGCTGGAGAGGCGAGGGCGAATCCTCGAGGGTCCCGCGCTGGAGAGGCGAGGCGGCGGCAGCCAGGGCGCCGCCTCGAGAAATTCTGGCCATCCTGCATCTCGTGGCCGTGGGACCTCTGGGCGGCCGGGCGGCGTGTGTGGTTTCGGCCCACGTCGACTTCGGCTACCGTGGCGAAGCGCGATGCGATGGTGCGACGCTTGGGAAACGAAGGCGCCTACGACCAAGCGGTGGCAGTGGGCGACATCGACAGCGAGACGCAGGAGTGGCTGGGAAATCAAGCGCGTCTAGAACTCTGGGCGTTCACGCACTGGAGTAGACATCAGCGCGTGTCTTCGACGGCCGCGGGGCGTGCCTGGCGGAAGCTCAGCCCTGAGTACAGGGGCAAGTTGATTTTGGAGCTGGATGGCAGCGCGAAGCGAGAGGTGATGCGACAACTCGGAGCAGGATTTGCAAAGGCTCTCATTTCCAGTAAGCTTGTCATCCACGACGAGGAGGAACTCCAGCGACTCGTTGATGAGAGTGGGGCGGGGTCGCAGCAGCCGCCATCTCCTTCCTCCAGAGGAACCGCAGCCGCCCCTCCTCAGGATGGTGGCGCGCGTGACAGAAGTAGTATGGGCGCTGATAAACGGGTGGCGATTGCGCGTGACAGGAGCACTCTTGCCCCTGGGCGGGGCTAGCGTCGAGTCGGCCTTCGAGAAGGGGCGTCGTCGTCGCGCGCTGGACGACGACGTGACCTGCAGGCGGACCTGGTCTGGGGCTCAAGAGCTCGGAGCGCCGCGCGCGCTGGAGCTAAGATATATAACGAGCGGACTTACTTTGGAAGCTCGGCGCGCGCTGAGATGCCGCATCGATTTGTGAGGAAAACGAACACATGAGAAGGAGGAAGAAGGACAATCAGGAGCAGCCGTAAAAAGGAGGAGGCGACGATTATGCTCAGTCGCCTCACTTCGGTTCCTTTTGACATAATGGTGTGTGTATGGGCGTAGTTAGTATCCTAGGTGCCGAATGCTCGTGGGCAAGGTGCCGAATAGCACGGTTAGACACTTCGCGCCGCTCGTGGACACCAGAGTAGAACTGGCGCTCTCCGGCGCGCTGCTGCTCAGGATCGCAAAGCCAGTGATTATCCGTGAAATATTAGTCCCAGTCGCGTTGCTCAGCGACGTGGCGCCCGAGGCTGCACTTGATCTGCACGCGGGCGTCAGGGTCGGGCTGATGCACCCAAGCGCGCTCGTCCGCGATGCGCTGCCGGTGCCGGTCGCGGCGCTCCGCGACGGGCTGCTGTTTTCCGAAATGGTGCTCCAAATTGAAATGCTAATGCCCGTCGCGCTGTGCAGAAAAGTGGTACCCGATGCAGTGCTAGTCCCACTCGTGAGCGCCAGGGCCGAGCTGCTGCCCACCGGCGTTCTGCATGACATCGCTGTGCCAGTGCCCGCCGCGGCGGCCAGCGAAGGTCGTGCTCGTCCCCCTCGTGGACGTCTGGGTCCAGGCAATGCTTTCAATCGCGCTGCTCAACGATGCGCTGTTGGTGCCCGTCGTAGTGGTCAGCGACATGGCACTCGAGACAGTTATCGCCCCGCACGCGGACGCCAAGGTAGAGCTGATGCTCGCCGACGTGCTGCTCGACGTTGAAGTGCCCGTCGTGTTACTGATACCCGCCGTGGTGGCCAACGAAGTGGAATTTGAGGCAGTATTTGCCTCTGGTCTGAATGTCAGGGTCAACCTGTTGTTCTTCGACGTGCTGCCGCACGTCGAAATACCAGTCACAGGCGTGTTACTCAGCGACGTGGTGCCCGAGGCTGTACTCGTCCCGCTCGCGGACTCCCGGCAGGGTCGGGCTGCTGCGCCCTGTTGCCCTATTCAGCGACGCGGTGCCCGATGCAATACGAGTCCGACACGTGGAGGCCAGGGCCGGCCTGCTGCTCCCCGACGTGCTGCTCAGCGTCGAGGTTCTAGTGCCCGTCATGGCCGTTGAGGCTGGTCTCCAGTTTCTTCTCGCCACCGCTCGCTGGGCAGCGCCGAAGCCTGCCGCCGCGGCGCGGCCGTCTCGCGGCGCAGGCGCTGATCCCAACGTTGCAGCGGGTGGCGTTGGTTTCAAGATCCTTCTTTCTGCAGCTCGCTGGCCAGTGCTGGAGCCTGCTGCGACGGCTCACTCTTCTCATCCCGCAGGCGTTCATCCTGGCGCTGTAGCTGTTCAGGCTGGTGCCCAGCTTTCTATCGCCGCAGCTCGCTGATCAGCGCCAAAGCCTGCCGCCGCGGCTCGGCCGTTTGATAGCGCAGGCACTGGCCCCAGCGTCGTAGCCGATGGCGCTGGCTTCCAACTCCCTCTCGCAGCGACTCTCCGAGCAATGAGAGGGGCCCCGCCGCACGCCGCGAGCGTCGGAGGTCCATCCCCCTTCGCCCATACCGCACCGCACACGTGCAAGAGAGTAGCGCGGGCGCGGTCTCGAAACCCTACCCATCTTCCATAGAGCCCACCGCGATCGGAGCCTCCCTCCCGCCCTGCACTCCCAGCCACGCCCGCGGCGGAGGGATGGGGTCCACGAGCAAGAAAATGAGCCCCCGCCGTGGCAGCGGCCACCGGAGGATGGGGGCTCAAGCCTATCCCGAAGGCACGCCATAGGACTCCGCGGTCGGGCCCTCGTCCCGAAGGATCGTGTGGGACCCTGGCGCTGCTGACGCTCGTCGCAACGGCATGCTGGGACCCCGACGGCATGCCTGAAGGGTCGTGTGGCGCTCCGCCGCCGCCAGCGTTTGCACACACCCTGCCACCGTTCGCCTCGACAGCCCCGGGCAGGTTCAAAGGGCCTTTCTCACTGACCCGCCGCCGCGCGGCGTCGAGGGCGCAGGCCCAAGGGCCAATTTCAGAGCCCAGCCGTCGTACAAATCGGCCGAGCGCCTGAACCCAAATGGCAACAGAGGTCGGGCAGAAAAGGAGGATACCTTTACGTGTTGGCACACCGGCGTGAACAACTCAAAGAATTCGCCGGCCCAACGGGCCAGGGCGTGCTAAGATCTCCGGTACCTGGTTAACAGTACTTCTAATTCGCGCGCGCGGGGCGGCCCCTGGGGGTCCCCGGACGAAAAGTACCCCGGCAAGGTCCCGGCAAGTCCCCGGCAAGGTCCCGGCAAGGTCGGGCCAGAGATGCCGGAGTTCTGTTTCGGAGTCCAAGGGCTCCAGATCGGTCCAAGAGGGCCCCGAGAAGCTTTCTAGACGGTCCAAGAGAGGCCCGAGACGGCCAAAGATCGCCCGAAGACGCCCCAGATGGCCCCAAGACAGCCCAAGAGGCCTCCAAGACGCTCCAAGGGCCTTCCAAGAGGCCTCCGAAGAGGGCCCCAAGTTGCCAAAATCGTTGATTTTCATTGGTTTTTTCTATGTTTTTTTGCGTTCTGGCCTTTTCGCTTCCGGACGCTCCAAGAGGGCCCAAGAGGCCTTCAAGACTGCTCCAAGACGGCCCACGAGGCTCCCAAGACGGCCCCGGAGCGGCCCAAGAGCGCCCCCCAGACGGCCCAAGTGCTGCCCAAGGCGGACCAAGAGGCCCCAAGACGGGCCCAAGAGGGGCTCAAGAAGGGAACCGAGAACTGAAAAATCGAGCCCTCCGCCCCAGAAGGCGCCCAGGACCCCGAAAGAGGCCCCAAGAGACTCTCCAAGACACCCCCAAGACGCCCCAATAAGCTCCCGTGAGGCCCCAAGAGGACCAACAACGTCAGGCCCCAGGCCCCAAGAGGACCAACAAATACCGCCAAGAGCCCGCCGAAAGCCCCCCAAGAGACCGTCACGAGAGCTCAGGAGGCCCCCTGGAGGCCTCCCGAGTTCTCCAAGAGGCCTAAAAAAGAGGCGCCAAGAGGCCCCAAACGGCCCCACCGAGGCTCCAAGAGGCCACGAACGCGCAAGCAAACGCCTGCGATGGCACAATACGGGCCGGCGGAATGAGCGAAGCGATTATAATAGGAATGCGAGTCGCCATCGTCAACATCAACATCAGCATCATCATCAACATCAACACCAGCATCAGCATTAGCATCAGCACCCTCATCCTCATCCGCATCCTCATCACACTGATCATCACAATGCTCATCCGTATTATCACCCTCAGCCTCAATTCCTTTTCCTTATCAATACTTTTTCCCTGTCGCACCCCGAGGCAAGTTTTTAGGGCGGCCCGGGAGCTTCGCCTAAGAATTCCTCACCACTTACAGCTCCGAAGCTTAAAAAAATACCACAATTTCGCAGATGGAGGGCGGGTGGTTTTCAAAATTTGGGCTCTCGCCCTAGCGCCGCGCATATTCATGTAACAAGATCGCAAGAGCTTCACTGATTGAGGGCGGGTGGTTTTCAAAATGTGGCTCCTGCCTTAGCGCCGCGTTCATTCGTTTTTTATACATATATATGTATATTAAAAAAGACCTTCACGGATTGACGGCGGGTGGTTCACAAAATGTGGCTCGCGCTGCAGCGCCACGCACAATCGTTTTAAAAATCGACAAGTGTTTCACGGATTGAGGGCGGGTAGTTTTCAAAATGTTGCTCTCGCCTTAGCGCCGCGCGCATTTTTTCCAAATTTGTAAGAATTTCACGGATTGGGGGTGGCTCCTTTTCAAAATGTGGCTCTCGCTTTAGCGCCGCGCACATTCGTTTCAAACATTTGCACGTGTTTCAGGGTTCCCCATGATCAACGTACCAGAATCGTGTTTAGGAAAGATTCAGGACGAGACGGGTGCAACAATTATGTTGGTTAGCGGTGTTGAAGTCCCAGAACTGTTGTTTTGGCACGATTCCCGATCGTCAAGACGCAGAAGTCAGGATGATCCGAGGCTTTAAATCCAGAGAGTAATGTTTTGGCATGTTTCAGGAGCTTCAAGTGGTTGCCTTCCAACGAGGCAGTTCCCGCAATGGAAATGAACTGTTGTAGGGGCCTATGAAGAGGGATCTTGGAGGGAGGGCTAATTTCAACATCGTTGATGACCCTCGGGCTTACACTGGTCCTCATCCTCATCTTCATCCTCCCCATCCTCATCCTCGTCCTCATCGTCCTCATCATCATCATCATCACCCTACCCTCATCATCATCATCATCATCATCATCATCATCATCATCATCATCATCCGCACCACCATCATCATCATCATCATCATCATCATCATCATCATCATCATCATCATCACTATCATCACCACAATCATCATGATCATAATCATCATTAGCAGCATCATCACCACCATCACCGCTACCGCCATCACTATCACACATATAATCATCAGTATCATCACCACCATCACCGCCATCGCCATCACCATCGCCATTTAACGAGAACAAAAATCATCGTCGGCGTTATGATTGGCACTGGCTGGCTGTGGCGCTCTGGCTGTGCATACGGGGCCCGACTGAAGCGATGGGCAGCGGGGGGACACGCCCTGGGGGGCAGGCGGCCCAGGGCTCTCTCCCAACGGGCCCTCGCCCCAGCCCTCTCAGCTCCTAGGGAGAGAGGGCGGTCCCTCCCCCCATCGCACCACCATCGCAACCCCTGCCCCGCTGGTGGGGACGTGCGGAGCAGAAAGAGCAACAACATCAACCGCCGCCGTGGTGGCACGAGCAGTACGGGGGAAAAGAACGAGCATGAACAAACACAATCAGAAATCACGATGCACGACTAGGACGGCCACCACGTATGCAGTAGACACATACGATAAGAAATCTTACACCATCACAAAGATGGGGTCCCCTATTGGGACCACCGCTGGCAGGCCAATTTCCGACATGATACGCCTACTACGCAAGCCGATCTACTGTAATAGCTGCTCCACCGCCAGTACCTGGCGGCGCGCTAAAGTAGTGGAGCGAGAGGGGGCGGCCTTATGAGAAGCCAGCGGGCTTCTAGAAGAAATCGGTCCCGTCTCGGAGGCCTCCAGGAATGCCACTACGAAGGCAGGAGGGCTTCTAAGAGGCTGGGTGCCTTCTTAAAATGCCGTCCCCCTCCCCCTGCCCAGCGGCCAAAGCCTGCTCCAACGGAACCCCAAGACTCCCTCCCAAGGTCAATCCTACCTAGTTTTTCGAGCCGCGCCAAGCCGTGGCGACAAAAGGGGGGAGGGGGGGGGCAAGGCCACACAAACTACGAGACCGAGCGCACCTCCTTTTTTTGCGCGCAACCGAACTGCCATCGCTGTCGTTATCTGGTCTCCAGGTGTGCGTTCTGATTAGAAGGTTGAAGGGGATCCAGCAGCGGCGACGAGAACACTCCAGGAGACCCCACAAAACAGAAAGCCCAAGAACCTCGATCCTCTAACCTCGATCCTTCCCCCTCCTCCCTCCTAGTCCAACAATAGAGGAGCTGAGCTGCTCCCCGAGCCTCCAGGGACCCAGAGGAAGCGGAGGAGAAGGAGGCGAGAAGGAGTAATTAGGCGAGAATAAGGAGAGATTGACGAGGAGACGGAAAAGCAGGAAGGAGGTGGAGGATGAGGGGAGGTGAGGGAAAGGCGGAGGAACACGAGAAGGAGGGGAGGGGCAGGCGAAGGCGGCGGCGGAGGTGGAGGAGGCGGAGGACGAGGCGGAGGAGAAGAAAAGCAGGATGACATGAGGGAGGACAAGCAGGGAGGAGGAGGCAGGGAGGAGGAGGAGGAGGAGCAGCAGCAGCAGCAGCAGCAACGGCGGGATAGAGAGAGAGCGGGGGGAGGCGGCGGAAGCGGAAAGATGCAGCCTTCGAGGGCGCGACGTCGCCCTGCGGCGCCTGGCCCAGACAGGAGCTCCCGCAGGAACCGCCGCCGCCGCAACCGCCGGCTTGGCCGCCATCCTGCCAGCCGCTGGGGCGCGACGGGCACGCCGGTGCCGGCGCCTCCGGCCGGGCAGCGTTTTTCACAGCAGCCTCTTGCCGACCCCTCTTCGGGGAACCAGAATCCAGATCGGGGGCGTAGAAGAGGGGGGCGTCCAAGAGGGGGGGCGCAAATCATGGCCAGCGGCACGTGCGCGGCCAAGGGGGGGGGGGGGCGGGGACGGAGTGAAATAAGAGGAGGCGCCATGAAATTTGGGGAGATATCATGGCAGCCACCATGATAGGCCCCCCCCCAAGTCATCACCCCCCTCTTGGCCGCTCCCGACCAGAACCCAGCAGGCTGACCTAGGTCACCTGGGCCCTCTGAAAGAGAACCAGCTCAAGACTCTTGCTCACACCGGGCCTCCGAGAACCGATAGGCAACCTGGCCGAGCCGCGGCCGCGCCAGGACGCGACGGCGACGGCGGCTCTTCTTCGCGACGACGACGGCGACGGCGACGGCGACTGCGGCAGAGGGGGGGGGGGGGGGCGGGGCCAAGACAGGGCAAGGAGAGTTTGGGGGCAGGTCAAGGGCTCGCAGCGGCGCTTGAGGAGAAGGAGGAGAAGGAGGAGGATAGGAGGATATAGGAGGAGGAGGAGAAGGATCGGAGGAAGAGGTGGAGGGGGAGAAGAACAAGAAGCAAGAGGAGGAGGAGGAGGAAAAGTGAAGAGGAGGAAGGAGGAGGAGTGAGGAGAAGGAGAAGGAGAAGGGGGCGCGAAAAGGAGAAGGAGGAGGAGGACAAAAAGGGGGGAGAAGGAGTTAGGAGGAAAAGGAGAAGGAGAAGGAGTCAAGAAGAGGAGGATCAGAAGGACGAGGAGGACGAGGACGGCGACGAGGAGGAGGAGGAGGACCAGTGTAAACACAAGATGCATCAACGACGTTGCAATAAACCCTCCCTCCAAGTTGCCTGTTCACGGGCCTCTAAAAATATCTTCAGTGCGGGAAAAGCCCAATTGGACGACAACCGTCTGAGGATCACCAGTCGTGCCAAAACACCGATCCTGGCACTTCATCGCTGCGAATTAACGTGACTGCTGCGTTCTGACATTCCAGAATCATATCAGACACCATTCGCGGAACTTCAACACCGAAAATCAACGAGGCTGTTGCGCCCTGACAACCGCAAATCGCTCCAGAACGCCTTTTTGGGGACTTCAACTATACGAACACATGAATTGGCCCAGACTGTCAAAACGAACGTGCGCGGCGCGAGAGCTACATTTTGAAAAAGGAGCCGCCTACATCCCTGAAGCTGCTGCTAGCTTTGAAACGAACGTGCGCGGCGATGAAGAGACAATAACCACCGTTTGCAAACCACCATCCGACCTCCATCCTTGAAATTACTGCAAACTGCTCAAGCGAATGTGCGGGGCGCTCGGGCGAGAACCACATTTTGAACTCGACCCGCCCTCCATCCGTGAAACGGTTGCAAACGTTTAAGACGGCTGTTCGCGGCACTGAGGCGAGAAACACATTTTGCAAACAGCCCGCCCTCCCTCCGTGAAGCTGTTGCAAATACCAAGCTTCAACTTCATAAACGGTGGGGGATTGTCGGGCGAAACGCCCGTGCCCGGCCTACCGACGCGTCTGGGGGTGCGACAGGGAGGACATCTTTCTTAGGGGAAAAACTTGGGTGACGATGGGGAGGAGGAGGAGGAGGAGGAGGAGGAGCAGGAGCAGGAACAGGACAGGAGGAAGATGAGTGACGAGTGAGGAGTGAGGAGGAGGAGGAGGAGGAGGAGGAGGAGGAGGAGGAAAATATTGGAGCGTCTGGATGCGCATGCCTCCTGATCACTATGCAGCCGACGAGGCCTGTTGCGAAAGGCGTTGCCAGAGGAGGAGGAGGAGGAGGAGGAGCAGGAGGAGGAGGAGGAGGAGGAGCAGGAGGAGGAGGAGAAGGAGGAGTGAGAAGGAGGAGGAGGAAAAGAAGGAGGAGGGAGGAGGAGGAGGAGGAGGAGGAGGAGGAGGAGGAGGGAGGAGGAGGAGGAGGAGGAGGGGGAGGAGGAGCGGAGGAGGAGTAAGGAGGAGGAGTAAGGAGGAGGAGGAAAGGAGGAGGAGGAGGCGGAGGAGGAGTAAGGAGAGGAGTAAGGAGGAGGAGTGAGGAGGAGGAGGAGGAAAAGGAGGAGGAGGAGGAGTGAGGAGGAGGGAGGGAGGAGGAGGAGGAGGAGAGGAGGAGGAGGGAGGAGGAGGAGGAGGAGGAGGAGTGAGAATGACAAGGACGATGACGAGGAGGAGGACTGGAAGAAAGCGAAGGGGCAGGCGAAAGGTGAGGGGGGGGCGGGGAAGGGGGGAGAGGTGAGAAGGGAGATTGAGGGAGGGGGGAGCTGGAAGGGGACATTGGGAGAGAATAGGGGGGTGGGGCAGCGCGAGGGTAGGGGGTAAAAGGGATAGAGGAGGGGTGAGAGGGAAGCGAGGCAGGTTATGAGCGCTCGCGGCATATCTGACAACCACCTCCTTCTCCTCCTCGTCCTCCTCCTCCTCCTCGTCCTCCTCCTCCTCCTTCTCCTTCTCCTCCTCCTCCTCCTCCTCATCCTCCCCTCGTCCGTCCCCTCCCATCCGTCTCTTCCCATCTCGCCGACGTGCTCTCTGTCTGCCGACGCCCGTCATAGCGGACCTGGAGACCCCCCCGAAGAAAAGGCCCCATCGGGTTATGCCCAGTCGGACAAAAAAGGGAGCTGCGTACCCTGGAGGAGATAGAGGAAAAGGAGAAAGAGGAAGAGGAAGAGGAACATGATGAGAAGGATGAACAGGAAGAGGAAGAGGAAAAGGAAAATGAAGGAAGAGGAAGAGGAAGAGGAGAAGGGAGAGAAAGTGGCGGATGAACGGGAGGAAGAGGATAATGATGAGAAGGGACGAGGCCAAACGGCAGCAGCGGCAGCACGAGCTGGAGTGGGAGGAGCGGCAACAGCAGGATGACTAGGCGAAGGCGACGACGATGAGGAGACACTCGGATCGGCCCGCGCGGGGTCAGGAGTGCCACTCTGAACGACCTGGGCAAGGTGCCGATCCTGACACGAGACGAACGCTGCAGCGGGAGCGCCGTGTACTCTGGAAAGGCCGAAGAATCTTCGGACTGGGGAACACCTGGAAAACTTGCCCTAAGGCCTTAGCAATCTTCGGACTGGGAAACGCCTGGAAACCCACCTCGGACCAATCACGTCGTGAGTAAAAACAATACGCGGAGAGGGGGCGCGCCACTCTCCGGCCATGTTCGGGGGAGAGGGGAGACTAGCCTTCATACTGTGCAGGTGTGGAGGGGACGGGGATGGAGAGATGAGGGGGCGAGGAGGTGGGGACGTGGACGGTAATGGCGACAAGGACGCGGACACGAATGGGGACCCAGACAGGGACGGCGAACGGGGACATCGTTAAAGCAGGCTAGGTGGAACAGCGGCTCGGGGGGCAAGGCTGTCGTTCCTCCCTCTTCCTCCTCTCTCCTGTTCCTCCTCATCATCATCACCACATCACCACATCACCACCACCGCCATCACCACCATCATCACCACCACCATCAGCATCATCAGCAGCAGCATCGTCACCGTGAGCATCCCCATCATAATCATGATCTGACTCCGCATCACCAGCATGATCATCCTCAGCAGCATCATCATCGTCGTCCTCATCACCATCGACAACATAATTTGCTCTCCACTCTCTCCTCTCTCATGTATCCTCTTCTGTGCACACCTCTCTCCGCATTTCCTCCTCTCTCATAACCTCTCTCCTCCTCTCCTCTGCTGTTCCCTTTCCATAATTAAGCCATACGAATACTACTCTACTCTCTGCCAGGCTACTGTCCGAGGGAAACGCCACCTCTCCCGCATAATGTTCGTTCACACGTGCTTGGCCTGTTGCCGCTGCACAATTGGCACCATGACAGGGGCGCTTTGCTCCCGTCCATCTGAAAGGCGCTCTCGCCCCACCGCTGGCCACATTTCTGGATCCAAGTCCTTCCTCGTCGTTGTCGCTCCCCCCACTACCCTCTCTCACCCCCCCTCCCCCGTCCACCATCCCCTGGCCCTCCTGCTCCTCCCGCTCCTTCGACCCCCTTCCTCATCATTTCTCCTTCCCGCCTCCTGCTCATCCGCCACCTCCTTCTCGTCAAATGTACACAAGTTCCTTTTTGATTGTGCTTCTCACGATAGATGGGGTCCGCGGGAGACAGGTTCACTAGGAAACCCGACGGCGGATAACAAACAAGCGCAATGGGAACGGGTGGGAAGACTCGGATCTCAGACATGACGAGGGCGCACCTAGCTTGACTCTCGCATGTATATCCTTTTTTCCTCCTCCTCCTCCTCCTCTTCCATCCCTGTTTCTTGCAGATAGCTCCTACCTGTCGCACCCCAGGACGGGTCGGTAGGGCGGGCCGGGCGTTTCGCCTGAGACTTCCTCACCATGTTTGATCCTGAAGCTTGGCATGTGCAACAGTTTCACGGATGGAGGGCGGATCGTGTTCAAAATTTGGTTCTCGTTCTAGCGTCGCGCTCATTCATCTTAAATGTCAGTAGCCATTTCACGGATAGAGGGCGGGTGGTTTTCAAAATGTGGGTCTCGCCTCAGCGCCGTACACATTCATTTGAAACTTTTGCAACCATTGCACGGATGGAGAGCGGTTTTCAGCATGTGGTTCTCGCCTCAGCGCCGCGCACATTCGTCTCACAAGTTTGCCACAACTTCACTGGTGGAGGGAGGTTAATCTTCCAAATGTGGCGTTCGCTCTGGCTCCGCGCACATTCGGCTTAACAGTTTACAGCAGTTTCAACGGTTCTTGTGGTTGACGTGCCAGAAACGGTGTTTTGGAACCATTTCGGATATCAGGGCACGGCTGTCACGGTGGTTCGCGGTGTTGGCGTGTCTCGGAAGCGGTGTTCTGGCACGATCTAAGGTCTCCAGGTCGCAACAGTGACGTTGATTCGCGGCGTGAAAGTCCCAGGAATAGTGCTCTGGCACGGTTGAAGATTTTCAGACGGTTGTCTTCCAGCGGAGCTCTCCCCGCATTGGATAAAACAATCCTCATAGG